TAATATGCAGTAATATATTTGGCATCTGCAAGAAAGTAGATCTGGAGGAACACACTCAAAATTTTTTTTTGTCTTTTTTTTTTGAGATCAGCCGCACGGCGCTCAGCCAGTGAGCGCACCGGCCATCCCTATATAGGATCTGAACTTGCGGCGGGAGCGCTGCTGCGTTCCCAGCGCCGCACTCTCCTGAGTGCGCCACGGGCTCGGCCCTACTCAAAAATTTTAAGTGTTCATCTCTAAGGGATGAGATTATGGAAGATTTCACTTTTTATATGTTTTAGTGTATTTTTATTTTTATTTTATTTTTTACAGTGAGCATCAAGAAAAGAATCCTAAAGAATTTTAAAAAGGGAGAATACATTAAGAACAGCCTTCATAGAAAAACGTATTTGATAATTTTTAAACCATGGGGATTTATTTTATTTGAAAACGTTAAGGACATAAATGTCACTTAATATGTCACTAAAATGATTTTAAAACCATAAAATGTCATTGCCATGTTATTAAAATGCTTTTAAAACCGTAATATTTCATTTGTTCCAAGTGTTAGATATTTTTATCTTAATACAAATGGAATGGTTGTGTAGAACATATTCTAAGAATTGTATGGACGTAGTGTGTTCACAAAGGATTTAAATAGGTTCATGTATATTACATCCTTAATGTACATTCAAGGAATCACACTTGGGACTTTTAGATCCCTTGTAATAAAGAGTTTATATTTGCATACTTAACTACATTTGAGTATTTATTATGTGCCGGGCCTTTTCCTAATGTCTTTGTTATAGGATGTGTTATCTTGTTTAATCGTCACAGCCTCCCCATGCGGTTAGTCTCCTATCCGCTTTTTATAGATGAGGAAGTGGCACAGAGGGATCATTCGCAGGTTCACACAGTGCATGGAGGAGCTGGGATTCGAACAAAGGCAGCCTGACTCCAAATCAGGCCGTCAGCCACTATGTGCTCTGCACACAGAGANGAACAAAGGCAGCCTGACTCCAAATCAGGCCGTCAGCCACTATGTGCTCTGCACACAGAGAAGTGCTGTGGTACTTACTGGATAATGACTGCCTTCAAATGGTGTTCATACTACCTCCTGTAGTAATGAAAGCAGTTACCTTCTTACAGGTGTCTTTAGTTATGAAGGATACTATGGTGGGACAGGGGTGCTTGGGCAGCGGGGGAGGGGTGAAAGGAAGGAGAAGAGGTGGGAACACAGGTCCCTGACAGGCAGTAGTGTCCAAGTCTTTCTTTTCAAGGATTTTGCCTGTTTTTAATTTGTGCTTGTGTAATGGTTAGAATTAAATATGGACATTTATCCTAGACATTTCACTAATATGAAGGGGAACGTATCTTTTGGCTTGTAAAGGAGAGTCACATTTGTTGAGCACCTGTTGTGTTTAGAGTAATGTGGGTATCATCAACAGTAAAAACAGGGAGAAAAAGCAAAAAGCACTGGCAAAAATAAAGATGAAAATGCAAATCGTTCTCTTTAAAACAGATTTATTACAATT